GTCTCGGATTTTTGCTTATATCTCCGTTGTTTATGGATGCATTTTGCTGATTTTAAATAGGAAACTTCTCGAAAGCAGGTCTGATAGAATTATTGAAGATTTGTATCCCGAAGATATCTGGGGTCTTCAGAAAACTGATTTTAACAGACAGACAGACGGACATGGCTTAATCGACTCCGCTATCTTCAAGGGTTCAGAATATATAAACTTTATAGGGTCGGAAAATTATATTTTGGAAAAACGGAATGACATCATTATATATACCCTTCTAACGAATGTGAAGGGTATAAAAATAATTTGTAACCCTCTACGCATGTGTACTCGTTGCTGTCTGAGCAACTACAAAATAAAAGAGAATAATAATATGTGTTTTTAGTTTGCGCAAAAGCACTATGAAATGGAAATCATTGCTTTAGTGATATATAGTAGAGTCCCCCATCTAGAATTGTGCTTTGGGTTGTAAAACTATGTCATACAAAAATGATCAAATTTTTTGACCATAGCTGAGAACAAGTTTGCGTTAACTTATAAGGACAAAAACTAATATTCCAGTAATTATAGATATATTTTAAGTAACAGAAAGGTTTTTCAGAATATATCACAAAAAAAAATATTTTTTTTTGTTACATTTCGAATTCATGCGCTGTGAGACACGTTAATGACCTGGGGAATTTGCAATAACTTTTAAATTTTTCAAGCAATTTTTGTGTTTTCTATTTTTCCGAAAAGCTTGCTCTGTGCACAATACGATTCCTTTACAATAAAGTTCATAATTTATTACAAAAAGGGCCAAATTTGAGCAAAAAATAAAAAAACTCTATATTTTCCCCTTGTAAATGCACTTGGAAACTTAAGAGCCGTTGCGGCACCTTTTATCCTATCAGCCTAATTTTTTGTATGACATAGTTTTACAACCCAAAGAACAATTCTATAGTGGGGGATGGCCTGTCAGACAAAATTGTTTTTCTTCATACAAACTTGAATCACTATAATATATAGTTCCAAATTTGCGTGCAATTTGGAACTAACTAACTATATATGGTTGTGACTATAAGCGAATATACATAGCAAAAAAAAAAGAACTTCCAAAGAAGCGAAAAAGATGTAGAATTTACTCCAAGGAAGTACTGAAAAATGCCTGAAGAATTGATGATTTTAACACAGGCTTGTCATAGGAGGGATGTACTTTTCATTAGATTCCAAATTCACTACTTCTGAAGTCATTCTCAAGAAGTAATATTTATGCTCTTTTTTTGGAAGTTATTCGGAAGTGAAATTGTATTATCATATAATGCAAATAATTTGACTTAAATAATATTAGCATTAATAAGGGTAATAGATACATTTAAAACAGAAGCCCAAAAATAAATTTGTTTATCTCACAAAAATGTAAGTACAAAAACAAATATTTTAAGCATTGAAAAAATATAATTATTTTCGCTTCTTCGGAAGTCATTAAACATCACTTCCACAGTAGTTAAAAAATTCACTAATTGCTACTTTTGAAGTGGTGATAAATCCAAATCTTCAATAATTCTGTCAGACATGCTTTCGAGAAGTTTCAGCGTTTAAATATGCAGCACTAGCACCACCTCTCTTGTATATGACTATAAAATAAATATGAAACTTTATCATTTTTGTATCATTTTGCTACTAAAAATTGCAGTCATATATATTCGTATTAATATAAAAATTGCAACTCGTGTTTGCAATTTCTAGTAGCAGGCAGACATAATTGCAGGCCAACACAAATATATTTTTGTGCTTTAGCAGCGCACACTCAAATTTGTTAAACTAATATGGCGAGTATTGATGTTATTTTTGTTTGGTTTAGTTTTTCCTAGCAGCAATGTAACTTTATTACACTGTATGTATGTATGTGTGTATATATGTATGTATGTATGTATGTATGTATGTATGTATGTATGTATGTATGTATGTATGTATGTATGTATGTATGTATGTATGTATGTATGTATGTATGTATGTATGTATGTATGTATGTATGTATGTATGTATGTATGTATGTATGTATGTATGTATGTATGTATGTATGCATGTATGTATGTATGTATGTATGTATGTATGTATGTATGTATGTATGTATGTATGTATGTATGTATGTATGTATGTATGTAGGTATGTATGTATGTATGTATGTATGTATGTATGTAGGTATGTATGTAGGTATGTATGTATGTATGTATATATGTATGTATGTATGTATGTTTGTATGTATGTATGCATGTACGTATGTATGTATGTCGATATTAATATGTATATTTATTATCATCCATATATCGATGATATTCGACCTATAATATCCTGCACTGATTGACATTTTAATTATTAAAATATAGTTTAAATATTCTCATAGTTTCTGTATGATATACATACAGAAAATACTACCTTGATATTTGTTTGTTTTTTTCCTTAATGTTTTACAAAATAATATTAACTACATTTCTTAAAAAAAATTATATAATAATCTTAGCAATTTTAGCAGTGTGATTTGAATAATTTGTAAAGTAAGCTCATTAGAATTCAACAAAAAATATTTTAATTATGTGTGTTCACCCTGTTTTATACAAGGTGATTATAAATTTATTAATTTCTACAACAAAAAATTTTTAAAACTATCATTTGGTTATAAAATTGTTATAAGTATAAGAATATTATCTTACAACTACATTGCTCAAAAATATTTATTCATTAGAACAAAATAATAAAAACATCTAAAGAACGCTTTTAATTTGAGTTGTGATTTATGGGGTAGCCATATTTTCAATAACATATACATATTTATTTAATTCATATGGAGGTTCCAAGCCCCCTAATAAAAGTCTGCCCATTTTTTTCCCAATGTTCATAATGAAGTTAAAGTTTTTCGTAAAATTTTTCGTAAATTTTACGCGTGATTTTTAAATTAGTTTTGTGCTTAATAAATATATATATCAAATTAAAATATTTTCAAATTGTAACATCAATATTTTCAAAAAACAATAAATAAATTTGCAGCTAGCAGTTGCAAAACAAAATTTAATTGCTGATAGGAAAAACTCAGCGCAAATAAAAATATCATCAATACTAGCCATATTAGTTTAACAGATTTGAGTGTGCGCTGCTATAGCACAAAAATATATTTTTTTCTTGTACAACAAACTAGAGATTAATACTGTTCATTCGTGCTGCTAGAGATTGCAGTGTAACGTCGCAATTTTTCTAGTTAAACATAAAAACAGAACGGCAATATTTAGTAGCAATGTTATTAAATCTGAAAAAGTTTAAATATTTTTAGTAAGACGAGTGATAAAAATGTGTATTTTGCGGCAAATGCTGACTAATATATTAGTAAAAGTAAACACTGTTTAAAATCAGCTAAATCCGTCCATAAACAACGGAGGTATAAGCAAAATTTCGAGACAACCTCTGAAAATTTCATAAAAAAATAAAATTTTGTTCATGCTTTAATAAATAAGCAACAACAACACTGCTTATTCATTGCGTTGTGTATTTTGTTTGGTATGTTTGGATGTCTGTGGATTTCATTGCCTTGTGTATATTGTTTTTGTTTGTTTTTTGCATATGTTTTTATGTTTGTTGGTTTCATTGCGTTGTGTATTTTGTTTCGTATGTTTGGATGTCTGTGGGTTTCATTGTGGCGTGTATTTTGTTTTTTTGTGTATTTCGTTTGTTTGTTTGGATGTCTAGTGGTTTCATTGCGCTGTGTATTTTTTTTGTGTGTATTTCGTTTCGTATGTTTGGAATCCAAACTTTGGATGTCTGTTGCACTGTTGCCAGATTTGACGATTTTAACTCTAAATTTGACGATTTTTTAAAATAGGATTGTTGTACTAATTTTAATACATTTTATCACTTTTCTATCTATAATTTTAAAGAAAATCGATGTATTTAGACTATCCAATGAAAATGGCAATAAAATTATACATTATAATGTTTTAGAGTATAGAGTTCATTGATCAAATGATTTACGTAATAACGAACTCAAACATTTTTGAGAATTTCTCTTTTTTTGGGCCAGAAGGGGTTTTTGGATCTAGAATAATTGGTAGTGGGAAGAAGGATAGAGGAAGTAGTGTTTTTGAACATTTCATTTAAAGGAGGAAATTTGTTTTGCATACGAAAAATTGAAACACCAATTTAGTTTGCAATGTAAAGTATTTTAAATCATATTTGCTAAATTAAACAGATAATAAACAAATGCATTCGTAAATCAGCTCTAGGTGCAGGAAGATCGTCGCGCGTCGTTGCTTAAGGGGAATCAGGCCGTCTTTTTTGCTCTGCCTTCGAGAGTTTTACGTTTCAGACCGCATTAGTCAAATGTGTAACGTCGAATAACTGTACCGTGTTACGGTTTTTTGAAATGCATGTTGACCATATGCATTCGTGTTAACTTAACCTAAGTTTTAATTTTGATTATGGTGGAGAACCAAAAAAACTGAATTTAATGTTCTGTCCAGTCATACTGGAATAATTGGTGTTGGCGTTATAATCTTTCGATTCGGCCAAGAAGTCTTAGCTACAGATGCAGCGAAGCAAACTTAAAGTACAAAACAAATAAAAAAAAACTAAAATCTATCAAAATTGATAAAAAACAGCTTTGACGATTAAATGACGATTTCGAAAAATCAGTTGATGGTTTTTACGATTTTTTCCTCATAATTTGACGATTTTACACCCAAATCATCTGGCAACTATGGTCTGTTGGTTTCATTGCCTTGTGTTTTTTGTGTGTTTTATTTCGTTTAGCGTTGTTGTTGTTCCTTTTGCTTTGCTACTGCTATAATAATGATATAATTTTTTTAAAATAATTATTTTTTAAATACACTATGGTGAAGGGTATATAAGATCGGCACAACCGAATATAGCACTCTTACTTGTTTTTATAAAAATTTAAGCATTTTTATTATTTTCATTAACTAATCTGATCATTTATTAGCGTTTGATACTTAATTTGAAATCTGGATATATATACATACCAATAACTCACAAACTATGTCCATTATATTACTATTTGATGTTATGTAGTCTTTGTGACTCATTGATGCAATGTTTGCTAGAATGCACAGCACTTGCTCTTTTATTTCAGGTGAATAATTATTTTCTAAAACTATGCAAAGGCCATCTAGTAGATCTTTCGAGTGTGTTGTCATTATTAGTTCAATATGATAGGTACGGCAAAGAAGATTTCTTAACAAACCCAACGTTTTTAAAACAACTATTTGATTCGATTCATTAAGAATCTTTAGGATTCTTCTTAAACCAAATGTGTTAATAATATTAGTTTTAATATCATCTTCGCATTGATACGCTAAGTTCATTAAAGCCCATATACAATTTAACTTTAATGATGATTCTTCATGGTCAGATAAATTCGATAGTTTTTCTATAATTCCTGAATTAATAAGTTCCATTTTTGCTGGAGAAAATTCAAGAAGAAGATTACAAAGCGTGGCAGTTACTACAACAAGAAACTCTATAGAAGGATCATTATTTATAATATCAAGCAGTGGTTCCCAAATGGTGTGTTCCTGAAATAAAAAATATTTTATTGAGTAATAAAAATCAATTTTAATATAAAATAAAGCAATTTAATTATTTTATTTTAATACTAGCTATACCCAGTGTGTTTTGCTACCCTAGAAACAATATAAACAAGTAAGAAATTATAGTCGGGCGTGGCCGACCATATGATACCCTACACCAGTTATGAATATTAAATGTGATTTATTTTTCATAATAAAGCATTTATCTTCAATATTCCCTTGTTCCGATACATTTAAGCAATTTATGGATGAAAGACTAATTTTCTGAAAGAGGCTTTATATGGGGGCTAGGGGCAAATATGGAACAAGCCCGATAAAATTTTGTGAATATATTTATATTTACATAATATTTTATTGTGCTGAATTTCATCGCGATATTTGTGTTTATAAGCTAATTTGGGACATTCAAGTAATTTTCTGAAGGGGACTTTGTATGGGAGCTAGGGTCAAATGTGGCCCGATCTTTATGAAATTTGGCAGGGTCATCAAGACTTCTATAAAACTTAGTTGTGCCGTATTTTATCGATATATCTGTATATTTAACATAATTATGAGCTCAGAAGCGCTTTTCGGGGGGTTCTGTTGTATGGGGGCTAGGTGAAATAATGGACCGATTTTAACCATTTTCAATAGGCTTCGTCCTTAGGTCAAATAAAACGTGCATGCCAAATTTCATCCAATTATCTTGAAAATTGCGACCTGTACCTTGCGCACAAGGTTTACATGGACAGCCAGCCAGCCAGCCAGCCAGCCAGACGGACGGACGGACGGACATAGCTTAATCGACTCAGAAAACGATTCTAAGCCGATTGGTATACTTTAAGGTGGGTCTAGGACGAATATTTTTGTATGTTACAAACATCAGCACAAATCCAATATACCCTCCCCACTAAAGTGGTGTAGGGTATAAAAAATTCTTTACGATATTTCATATTTACATTTTACGGTCGGTCTCTAGTCGGCAGACGGTGGCTCAGAAATTAATTTTATCGACCAAAAGACAAATGTTTTGTTTTTAATGCCATATTAAACACATTAAAACTAAAGGTGAAAGTACACAACACGCGTTGTACGCGGCAGCACGTTATAGGCTTCTGTCAAAAAAATTTAAATAGCGTATTTTCATTTAACAATTTACACACTAGTTTGTACCGCATCTGCCGCGAAAAGTTCAGCAACTTTTGACGCGTCGGCAGCTGATCAGGGTTGTATTTTGTTTTGTGTAGAATAAGAATAAACAAAAATTAAATAAATTTCACCAACAATGAAAGAAAAATATTAAAAAATAAACAAAAACTTAAAAAAAACATTAAAAGAAAGATCAAAATGAAGCGTGGTGTGTAACTTGCAGCTTGTAAAGCGTGAAAAGTTTGAAAAGCGTAAAACGCTGCCTTAAGGCAGCTAAGGTTCTAGTGGAATCTGTTATAGAATTGATAAAGTAGGAAACTATTCTCAAAATGATCGTGAACATTAGTTTTTTGCTAAAAACGATTCTAGTAGAACCGCTTCTAAAGCAACCGTTTCTAGTGGAAACTTTTGCAGAATTGCTAAAGTGGGAACCTGTGTTTAATTTTTATGGGAAATGCCCGCCATTGATAGTTTACCCATTTTTTACAAATGTTCATATGGATTTCAATGTTCGGCATAAATTGAGCCGCCACACATTGCTTCATTACATGGACAAAAATACTAAAAACAAGTTAGAGTGCTATACTCGGCTATGCCGAATCTTAAATACCCTCCACCTGTAAGCTTTTTGAAACCCATCTAAATAGTTTTATACCAAGTTCACACGAGCAGTTGAATTACTTAATTCGGCCTCTGAATGACGATAGCCAATTAACCCGTTTCAACGACACATTCGTAATTCGTTTTGAGAGTTCATCGCCATGTTGTTTTTTTTTTCATTCATTATTTTGTCATTTTTGGAATATTTGTGTGTGTGTATGATACAAAAATACGTTTGTTACATTATTTCAACAGTTTAACCCAGCCAGCAAATTTGAGTATGAGATAAATGAACTAAATTTACACTATTTAGGCTCAACTTCATGTTTCTCAGTGATAAATAAAAATACAAAAACAAAATACATTATTTTCTAATTTTTATCCCATTTTTTTAAAATTTAAGTTCGATCTAATATACCAAAAAGAAACGTAAATGATAATAATTAGATAGAATAAAAATGTATAAAAAGAACACTTTTTAATACACTAACAAGATAATTTAAAAGAAAAAGTGTTTGTATATTTCAGTAAATATATTAAGTTTAGTTTATAGTGATCAGTTGTGTGAATAGTAACACATTGTGAAATTTTGTAATGATTTTATTTAAAATTTAATATATAAAAAATAAATTTAATATATAATAAACCTAAGTGAGAGATTAGTGAGTATAAACAATTTTAAATTATTCATAAAGTAAGAGAAATAAAGAAAATGTATTATAAAGTCGCTTTTACTACATAAAATAGTGTAAAATTAGATAAATTTCCAGTTTCACTATTGCTATGGCAAAACTGGAAATTTTACTAATTTTACGCACTTTTATGCTATAAAAAAGTGACTTAAAAATGAGACGAAATCGACTCACTAAGTAAGTATTAAACAGGAGGAACAGTTTCTTACCAACGCGGTCACTTTTCTTCCTTTCAAATTGTGCAATATTAGATGTTTTTTAGATATTTTTACCTACACGTTGTTACGTTATGGATACTATTTAGATAGCAATTGTTTGCAGGGAAGTTGTATATTTTCTATTTATTTGCATTTGTTTTCAATTTTATTTTTTTATTGTCTCCAACCAATGAAAACAAACAGCTGATTATGATAAAATACCCGATAAAAATTAGAGATGACTCTCATTCATTCGTCATTCGGCATAACTTACTGACTCTAAACGGCTGAGATTTTCATAATATTTTAACCAGGTGTAGCAAACATAATTTAAAATTGTTTGACGTAAACATTTTTTCTTCCTCTCATTTGGTTTAGGAGTTACAGACACTTTTTATATATCATTCGAAAGGGCTTTTGAAAAGCTTTCAAACGATGTATAACATAACTCCTTCCATTAACCCATTGAGCGCCATCTCGAAAGAATGTGATTTTTATACAAATTTAATAATTTCTCTTTAAATTACGATATGAACACAACATATAAACTGAAAAATTGAATAGGATATAGAATGAATTTTCATTTGATGTATATTGCAAATTCCTAGACCATTTAATGCCTTAGAATTATTGAATTAAAAACTTAGTTTCAATATATTTTCTAAATTAATTGATTTATTTCGCACGTTTAGTTATTATATTCATATTTAAATTGAAAAATAAGATTTGCTTAAACCAATTTTTAACAAAATCATACTTTTTCATTCAATATATTTATTAGGCTTCGTTTCAAAAAATAAAATGTTTCCCGATTTTGTGATATCACAACTTTTTAGAAGGTTTTTGCATCAGTAATTACTATGCTGTAATAATTTTTTCAAAATTCCAACTCCTTCCTCTGCATATCTGAGGCGGAAACCACTGATTTTGAGCGACATTTTTTACAGAGCAGAAACTGTAGAATTTATAGTAAATCATGCTTTAATAATTGAAAAAAATCAATAAGAATGAGCTTAATTTCACACTTTTATAATGCTTCAAAAGTGCATTTAGTATTATCCAAAGATGCACTTTTTTCAAAAAATATTTCAAAAAAATTTTTTCTTTGTGCATAATCAAAGTATTCTTTTTGCTGAGACAAATGGTGCAAAAACAAAAATTTTATCATTAACCCTTTAGATGTGACGAGACTTTAAATTTTCAGATTTTAAACTTTACAACGCTATATTTCGAAAACCACGAAAGTTATAAGGCCCAAAATTTGTCATTATACAAGTTATATATGGAACATTAATTCGATGGAGTTTTATTAAATTCGGAGATGATGATGAAAAACACCATTGTTTGATGGGAAATTATTAAACTACAAGCCAACATTATAACCATCATAACTCCTAAAGGGATTACAATAAATTAAAAATTTTAACACTATTTTTTTAAGGGCATTGAATATTATATTTACGAATAATAAAATCAGGTTTTGATTTTTTTTTAATTGCATTTTTTCTTTTGCTCTTATGTATTTATAATGCATCTAAATTCTGTCAAATTAAGTTTATATCAGGGACCGTAACCGTTATGATTTTTATAATAAAACTCAGAAAATAATAATTATTTTGGTTTTTTATTTTTTTTGGTGGAAATAATAATTATTTTCTGATTTTTATTTTTTTGGGCAGAAATAAAAATCAAAAAATTATTTTTATTTTTTTTTTTTTTTTTTTTTTTGGCAGTAATAATAATTATTTTTTGATTTTTATATTTTTGGCAGAAATAAAAATCATTAAGGTAATATCATTTTTGTTTATTCATTTGTTTGTTAATTCGCTTGATATTTTTCTTTGCTTATTTGTTTATTTGATCTTAGATAGTTTCTTTGTTTGTTCGTTAGTTTGTTTATTTGTTCGTTCGTCAGTGTCTTTATTTGTCCGTTTAATTGTTTGTTCGTTAGTATGTCTGTCTGTCTGTTTGTTTATTTGTTTGTTCATTATTTTATTTTAATATAAAATAATATAAAATATAGATATATTTAGTTATACATTTTATTATTTATAAAATTGTTTCTTGATTTGTTTTTTTGTATCAAGCTAAAATACGAATTACGTATAAAGAAGAAGAGCTAGACTTATTTTTTTTGTAATTATACATTTTCAATTAGCTAAATAAGACAATCTGTCCTAAAATAAACATGTATTTTATATTTTGTGTACTTATAACAAAAAAATAAACAAACAATTTTATAAATAATAAAATGTATAACTAAATAAATCTGTATTTTATATTATTTGATCTTAAAATAAAATAATGAACAAACAAATAAACAAACAGACAGACTAACGAACAAACAATTAAACAAATAAGCAAACAA